GAGGGAGAAGCAGGCTTCCCGCAGAGCAGGGAGCCTGATGCAGGGCTCGATCCCAGGACCCCAGGATCATGACCCGAGCCAAAGGCAGACGCCCAACGACTGAGCCACCCAGGCGCCCCTGACATGAGTTTTTTGCCTGAGACTTGAGACACTGAGTGACAGTTTGATCTTCTTGGTCACTTAGTGGATATAATCAATAGGTAGTTGTGGGGGGAGATGGCAAGTAGGTTTTGTCTCTAGTGTCAACTAGGAGGGATTGAAAAGCTTTTGCCTCTAGCATCCCTTTAAGTGCTGCGGCTGTGTCTGGGCTCAGTAGGAACAGAACAGTTGACTGGCTGTGACCACCCCGGTGGGCAGAGCCTAATGCTAATTGGCTGTGAGGACTCAGGCGGAGCCTAATGCTGATTGGCTGTGGGGACTCAGACAGGCGGAGCCTAATGCTGATTGGCTGTGACCGCCCAGATGGGCAGAGCCTTACGCTGACTGGCCATGACCGCCCAGGTGGGAAAAGCCTAGTGCTGATTGGCCATGATAGCCCAGATGGGTGGAGCCTAATCACCAGGCTTCGTGAGCTCCAGGGTTCCACTTGGCCCCTCCAGTTCTCAAACCAGCTGTGTCCCCTTGCAAAGCCCTGGGTCGAGACAAAACCACTGCCCCTACAGTCCCCTGACCTTTTGCAGTAGAGTTCCTCCCCGCTCAGGCCACCTCTGTGCTGTGCCCTGGTGCACGCTCTGATTCTGTCCCTGACACCTGCTCTCCTATCTCCTGGGGCTACCAGAGGACACCCCGCTTTCTCTGCGGGACACCCTCCTCTCGCCCTTGTTTCCTGGCGTCCAGCTGTCCTCCTGTCATTGTGGCTTCCTCCCAATTCGTGGATCTTTGCAGTTAGCATCATCACACATGTGTAAGAACGAGAAGAGGGGGAGACATACATATAAAGCACATCCCTAACGGGAACCACCCCTAAAGTACGTAAAGCAGATTTAGACCTGTCCCTGGACCAGGGGGTCAGGGCTGAAATGGCTCCTTTCATGAAGAATTTAGTTCTGGGGCTGTTGCCATGGTGACTTCTAATGACTTTAATGACAGTAGACATCCCCTAAAACATTGTCCAGTGATTACATCCCGGGGACCACAACCAGTGTCAACTTGGAGTCAGAAGGATGGCCTGTACGTCTTCCTGCCTCCAGGTGCTTTCCAGTGATAAACACCTTGACAGTGCAATAAGAATGGCCTCCCTCAGGCATGCCCTGGGTCCCTTAGGGTTCCGTCACCTCCGAGTCCTGTCTGTGGGCTCTGTCGCCGCGCCCCGGCCCCTCCCCGAGGTGCAGCCGCTGGTGTTTAAGGAAGGCCGTGCGCCCCCCGAAGGCCTTCCCACAGGCGCCGCATTCAAAGGGTCTCTCTCCAGTGTGGATCCTCTGGTGACTGAGAAGGTGGGAGTTCTGGCTGAAGGCCTTCCCACATTCGGGGCAATTGTAGGGTTTCTCTCCTGTGTGCACACAGTGGTGTTTAATGAGGTCGGAGCTGCCCCTGAAGGACTTCCCACATTTAGCGCAGGGGTAAGGCTTCTCCCCGCTGTGGATTCTCTGGTGCCTTGTGAGGTCTGAGCTCTGCTGGAAGGATTTCCCACACTCTGCACATGCATGGGGCTTCCCTCCTGCGTGAGTCACCGGAAGTCCCATGAGGTCCGAGGTGCCCTGGAAGGTTCTGGCACGCTGGCCGCGCTGGTGTGCTCTCTCTTCCCCATGAGTTTCCCGCTCGTCCCCAGGTGCCTGGTCCTGGCTCAGTGTCCTCCCGCGTCCCTGGGGTTTCTCTGCAGCGTGAAGCCTCTGGTGTTTGAGGAAGGCTGTGTGCCAGATGAAGGGCTTCCCGCAGGCCCCGCACTCGTAGGGCTTCTCCCCGGTGTGGATTCTTTGGTGCTGGACGAGGAGTGAGCGCTGCCGGAAGGCTTTCCCGCACTCGCCGCACGGATACGGCTTCTCCCCGGTGTGGATTTTCTGGTGCGAGAGCAGGTGTGACCTCTGGCTGAAGGCCTTCCCGCAGGCCCTGCACTCGTAGGCCTTCTCGCTGGTGTGGATTATCCAGTGCCGGATCAGGTCTGAGCTTCCCCGGAAGGTTTTCCCACACTCCGTACACTCATAGGGCTTCTCCTCCCTCTCAGTTCTCTGCTGTCCCAGCCGGCCCACGTCCTGGCCCGCGTGCAGCCTCTGGTGCTTGAGCAGAGCCGTGTGCCCGCTGAAGGCCTTCCCACACCCGCCACATGCATAGGGCCTCTCCCCGCTGTGCAGCCTCTGGTGCTCGGTGAGGCGCGCACGCTGCCTGAAGGCCTTCGCACACTCAGGGCACGCGAAGGGCTTCTCCCCGGTGTGGGTCCTCTGGTGTGTGGCCAGGTGTGAACTCTGGCTGAAGCTCTGGCCGCACTCATAGCGCTCGTACAGCTTCTCTCCAGTGTGAACTCTGTGGTGGATGACCAGGTCCAAGCTCTGGCTGAAGGTCTTGCCGCATTGGTGGCATGCGAAAGGCTTCCTGCCACCGCCATGGGTCCTCTGGTGCAGGACCAGGCTGGAGCTCCCGTGGAAGGCCTTGCCACACTCCTGGCACTCATAGGGGTTCTCGCCACTGTGGATCCGCTGGTGCCTGGCCAGGTTGGAGCTCCGGTTGAAGTTCTTCCCACACTCGCGACACAGCTAAGGTTTCTTCCCTGTGTGAATTCTCTGATGAATAATGAGATTTGAACTCTGGTTGAAGTCCTTCCCACATTCGTCACACATAAAGGGTTTCCTTCCCGTGTGAATTCTCTCATGGATGATCAGGTTGGAGCTCCGGTTGAACGTTTTCCCACATTCCTGACATTGATGGGTTTTCTTCACGCTACCAGTTTTCTGGCGCTGGGTGACCTCTGATGTCTGCTGGAATCTCTCACCACAGGCTTCTCTGCTGTGGGATCTTTCTCCTGCAGCAAGTGTTCTTTCTCTCCCATTACACCTGTGGCCGCTCTCTCCTGCGATGGCTTTGGCGGGAATGAGATTCGCTTCCTTGATAGCTCTCCCTTGGGAAGCGGGGAGCCCCCCTGCATCCTGTGAGGGGCTCACCCAACGCCTCAATGATCCGACCACAGGGTCAGCAGCTTCAACCAACCCATGCTCCTGACGGATCAGTCTCTGGCATCCTTCGGATACAACCCTTGCTGGATCTATGTCTCCAGGAACGTCCATCTTTGACTTCTGGTCCTTTATGTTATTTCTGATCTCTGGATCTGAAATGATAAGTAGACCATGCTAGCATTCCTAAAATACAAACATCACCTCTTCCCCCATACTGAGAAGTTGAAGAGGGAGGAATAAAGAACTGAGAAGAGGACTGTGTCCTGGCTGGGGCTGAGATTCGGACCTTTTTGGAGATTGTGGCCACCACCGGAACACTCCCACTTATGCCTGCTCTCTAATAAATATATACAATTTTTAAAAGAAAAAAAAAATGAAGTGGTGCATGAGCGCCAGGAGGAGAACTCCCTTCCTTTTCCTTTTCCTTTTCCTGTGGCCTTGCACTGTCCCTCTGGCACCGTCCACAGACAAAATCTAAACCTCGTGCCCAATGGCCAAGGAGAAACGGTACAGATCCAGTAACACAAGCAGGACAGAGAAGGGCAGAGGAGGAGGTGAGAGCCCAGTCCTTCCAGAACACCCGGGCAAACCCAGAACCGTGCCCCCCCACCCTGCCATCCCCCCAAGATGAGGCTGGACGCCCTTTGGCACAGACCACAAGCACCCTGCCACCAGGCATCAAAACCACTGGGAATCCTCGATCCTCTGATGCCAATGATCCCTTTACAGACTCTCCTTGTTTGTGTGTTTCACCCCAAAGTCAGAGAGCGGAGAGCGTATGGACGCCCCCCTCCCCCGGTGGGGCCAGCTCTGCCTCCCGCAGCATCTCCTCCCCACAGAGCTTCCACGGAGTGCAACAGCCTGCTCACAGCCACATCCCACAGCATCCTGAATTCCTGAAACAGAAGCCCCTGCTCGGGAACCACCCAGGAGAGAGCAGCAGACACTTGGTACCTTCCCTTCTCTCCTTAGAACTCTGCTATGTCGCGCATCACCCTGGCTCTCAGCAGCCAATCCTGTCCTCGCTTTAGAAAGGTGAGACCATGGGGTGAAACCCCTGCGTCGCCCTGTCTTGTCAGCGACTCCGCACTCCGCTGTATTTCTTCTCTGCCGCTCCCCAGTGCTGATCTGCCCTCTGAGCCCTGCTGTGGGCCGCGCACTGCACTAGGTGCAAAGTAATGAGCACCATGCAGGACAATACCGAGGACAGAGTCCCTCTCCTTGAAGAGCCCGTGCTGGGCTGGCGGCTCACGAAGGGTACGCACGGGGTGCCGTGAGACCTTGCAGAAAGAGCACATCCTTGAGGGGGGACAGGCAAGGAAACTTCTGGAAGGACAAAGCTTCTAAGCTGAGGCCTCAGAGACCACCTGAGATAACCAGACTTCCCACGAGGCTGCAGCACGTGCATGGGTGGAAGGTGAGAGAAGCCACCAGCGTCCATGCACGCACCATGTGACCGAGCCCAGGATGCGGGACGGCAGAAGACGGAGCTGGGAAGGGCTGGTCAACTCGTGGAGGACCAAGAGGTTTGGGCTTTCTCCTGAAGGCCATGGGAAGCCCCTGAAAGGGTTAACGCAGGAGAATGGTGTAAGCAGATTTATGGTTTTAGAAGACTGTTCTGATCATTTTCTGGAGGATGAATGTTGGGTCAAGGCTGCAAGCGGGGATATCAGGCAGGAAACCACAGCAGTGGTCTGCTTGGAGCCAGGGAGGGCCCCAGTGAACTCCGGGCAGAGGGCACGGAGGGATCGAGTCCGTATGTCAGAGAAGCAAGACCTGGTGCTGTCCTAGACAGAGGGGCCGAGGGGACAGGGCAGGCATTAAGGATGGCATCCACGTTTCTAACTTGGGCAACCACCTGAATTGGGTAGTTGGAGGCAAAGGCCGGGTGAGGGGGATGCAGTGGGGGAAATAATTTCAGAGGTGTTGGAGATACCTGTGAGGCATCCGGGAGAAATGTCTGCAGAGCTGACAGGTCAGCAGGTCAGGAGCCCAGGAGGAACATCTGGAAGGCAGGCAAAGATTTCAGAATCATCACGCAAGTAGCATCTAAAGCAGAAAAGTGTCACTAGTTACGGCTTGGAGACCTGAGCAGAGCACAGGGTGCGGGAGCGAGCAGAACCAAGTTAGAATCCTGGCATCTTAATCTCCCTCAACCATCCTCCCCTCGATGTCCAACAGAAGGAAGAGCACTTGTCCCACAGTGTCATCATGCCGACGAAGCCCCCCAAGGTGGACAGTGCACACCACAACTGCGTTAGCTTCTCAAGAAACTCCACGGGGCTGGGGGCTCCGTCTGTTTTCAGTGTTGGAACAGGGCCCCGAATATAGCGGGCGCTCAATAAAAAACTGCAGAATAAGTGAGCAGGATACCCCTTGACCCAGTAATTCCTGAAATCCTTTTCTCCCTTGGCTTCCACAGTGGGTGATATTCCAGCCACTTTTGTACTATCTTTACCCATTTCTCCGTGTTACATGCATTATGGAGGCCCAGCCCCTCGTCCTGTCTTTCTGTGACGTATCAGTGGCCACACCCCCTCTGGCTCCCGTGATCTCCTTTGTCCAGGATGAATCATGATCTGGAACTCCTCTTCCTCACCCACATTTTCGTCTGCACTCACTGTGCATTTCTAGTCCTGTGTCTTACTGGATTGTGAAGCAAATGGATAAAGATGAACTCGTCATTTTACACTTATTCCCCTTTCTTACTATCCCTTTCTGCCAAACGACCCGTTTTCGTTGAACAAGTATTTACTGTGATCCTACGGTGTCCAGGCACCGTTCTAGACCCTGGGATGCCGTGGTGAACCAGACAAGGTCCCTGCCCTCGTGGGGTCTGGCGTTCCAGGGGCTTCTAGGCCAGAGACACAGTCGTTTATGCCACCTAAAATGTGGTCCACACACCAGCACCATCGGCCTCTCCCAGGAGCTTGGTAAAAATGCCAATTCTCCAGCAGCGTCCCAGACCCACTGAGTCAGACTGTGGGGAGGGGGCCCGGCAGTTGGTACCTGCCAAGCCCTCCAGGAGACACAGGTGGGCTATGACTTCATCTTGGACTCCCCTCTTTCCATACCTACGAACTCTGAAAACTCCTCCTTTGGCCCTCTCCAACCCCATCTGAGTCCAGAACCTTCTCACCTCGTGCTTGGATTGCTTGCAAAATCTCTGATAAATCTGCTTTCTGGTTCCAACTGGTAAAGCTAATGCTGTTGGATGAAGTACTTTTCTCAAATCCTGCTTTCCCTGACGACAATGATTGAAAACTTACCGTGAATTTTTAAATCATCTATTAAAGGAAATGATAGCGCCTCTTGACTTCCGAGCTATGTTATTCCCTCGGGCTTCTGTAACAAAGTACCCCAGATTGGGTGGCTTCGAGCAGAACTTCGTTCTCTTGCAGTCAGAGGTCAGAAGTCTGAAGCGAAGGTGCCGGCAGGTGGCTTCCTTCTGTGGGCTCAGGGATTGCCTGCACCCCTCCCCCCCAGCATCCGGTGATAGCAGGCAGTCCTTGTGTCCCTTGCTTTGTAGGTGCATCACCACAATCTCTGCCTCCCTCTCCATGTGGCTTCTCCCTGCTTTGGTCTCTTCACATGGCCCTGTTCTTATAGGGACACCACTCATATTGAATCGGGGGAGGGGAAGGGAGCTGTTCTATTCCAGTATGACCTCACCTTAACTAATTACATCTGCAACGATCCTATTTCCAATAAGGTCCCATTCTGAGCTAGTGGGGTTAAGATGTCGATATACTGAAGGGACACAATTGGGGTGGGGGGGACACAATTCAACACGTAACAAGAGCCCTCCTCTGCGATTCACCTAAGAGCAAAACTGCGCTTCAGTGTCCCCCCTAACTTCCCATACACTGTGCTTCTCCCCGCGCTGTCCCTTTGCCTCCCACTCTTCTGCTCGCGATGCTGCTCCAGGTCTCCCTCATCTACACCGGGAACCCAGAACCCAAACAGCCACAGGCCAGGCACTTCATCAGAACGAATGAAGGAAGCTAGGTGATTATCCACGACAAAATGATACTTTGCTTCCATGTCAGGGAGACGGTGGAGATTAGTGGGGACTGGGGCTCTGGAAATTGGATGCCGAGTCTGAAGGTGGAGCTCCTCAATTCCTGCTCAGTGCACCGTG